ATTAATTTTTAAATATATAATGGTTAATCCTCCCCCCCCCAAAAAGCTTGAATAGCCACCTTCCTAGTCTCTTTGAGACTATCTTACTGGGTCAAACTTTTCCTCTTCTGTCTCTTTCATAGACTCATTTTTCTCTTCATCAGTCTGTTGCTCAGCATATCGCAAAATCCATTCCTTCATACTCATTTCTTTCTCTTTCCCCACATTTTTTTCCTAGGAAGGACAAATAAAACTTAAAGCTATGCCAGAAGTACTAGTACCAGTAGCTTTTTCAGCCAACCTTTAGGAACTGTTGCTCAACACAGTGTATGCAAAAATTAGGTTGTTCAACAGCACAACAAAACCAATGGAGCAAACTTCTCTAATGAGGATAAACATATTACAATATACTTATATAACTCTTAATACTATGGGAACTACCATAAAAAAGAGAAAAATAAAGGAAACAAAAAACAAAACAACAAAAACTCACCACACCACATATAAACATCTCCCTTCCATTGACTAAGTAACTAAAAAAATGTTTTTTTAGTTTTTTAGTTTTATAATTCACTGTAATTAAAATAACATAATGTTTTAATAATGTTTTAGACACATACCCATGAATTTATRCAGAAGCAAAATCAGCAAACAGTCAGTGAGGTGTTAAAGTCGGTATAAGTCTGTACTCTGGAGATGTCTACCAAATACAACTTAATATTCTTCTGATTACCTTAGTTTCGGGACCATTTTCTTTCTTTTTGTTATCTACTAAGCGAGGTGGAGGCTGACGTTGTGGCGCAGGAGAAGAAAATTTTGCTCTAGGTTTCTGTTGTTGCTCTTCAAACTGCTGACTAAAACCTTCAGGCAACACATCTGCAAAATAAAGAATCCAAGTCAACCACTTGGCACCAAGAATTACTGAAAATGTTTTTAAGAGTGCTGGGGGCAAATTAAGAAAGTCATGAAACAAAACAGTATGTTGAAAAAAAAACAAACTTTAACATTTACAGATGTCAGCATCTGCTTTATGGACTTTCATAAAACACCAAGTGGAGGAAAGAAAGAACTACGTAACTTCGTACAGAGCCACAAAACAGACAGCAGCAAAATCATGCTAAGAACACAAYATATCTAATAACTACAATATAGCACTCCTATGTAAAAGCAGCTCCTACTGCTCTCTCATGAAAAGCTGTAGTCACATCTGTCATCATACTCACCGTCTTGAAGATTTAAACAAAGCCAGTCAAGCGCAGAGTGAAGATCCCCACCATACAGAATTGTATTTTTCATTGCTTCCTCTATGTGCTCAGGCTTAAAAGATAATCTTTGTAAAGCCATATATACATCCTACAAATAAATGCCAAAAAAAAAAAAAAAAAAAAGCATTTAATCTAATGATCCATATAGATTCATAAACTCATATCTCACACACTAGACTAAATAGTATTAAATGGTTGTAAACAACATAAAACCACATATCAGAAGGCAGATGAGCAAATCTTGCTTTGCAATGTACCTTACAATGAAAATGACTGTAAACATGTATTTATACATGCACAAATGTCCTGGGGTTTTACCAGAATGCACATGTTCTTGTTAGAAGGATTAAACTGGAACTTTCCAGCTACAATATAGRGACAAAAACGTAGGAAGTCTAACACAAAGCATTCAGTTTTTGGAAAGTAAAGTTCTATTCCTATGCACTGTTTGAAAACTCCAATTTCGGCTACTGAACACACAAAAGATTTTGCTTAAAAGCACGCGCATTTATTTCACTGGCTAATCATTAATGTGATTATTGGACAGCACGGTACACCAGTTAGCACTACGTGCTAAAGCATAAATGACAAATAAGAAACTATTTACTCTAAATCAACACTTAGAGGAAATCATTTTGAACTCTACCTGTAGTTTCTTAGTAGTAAGCCTTTTGGAAATCATTCCTTTGTCATCATTTTGTTTTTTATGCTCATTGATGACATCAATAATCCTTTTCTCCAGATTACTGTTAATCATTACCTGCACAAAGAAAATCAGTCAATACAAAGCAAATTACTGCAGATTTTAGGACACATCTATTCTTTTGCCTAAAGAAATCAGAATCCAGAAGCCTCTCTGCCATTCCAATCTCCACTCTCCCGATTTTTTATAACCCTTTCTTTGTATTTAAAATCATAGACTTTCACCTGAAATGGAAGGATTTGTTTCCTTCTAGAAACTAGAAGGAAGTTCTTCTAGAGAAAGAAGAAAGCCCATGTATATATTCAAGAAATATAAGAAATCAAAGGCAAAGAGAAAAATTTTCTGCTGGAAACTACAGGATGTCTCTTCTCAGCTTACAAGTACCAGCACACAATAATTTGTCCATGAAGATAAAATCTATGACATAGTCCCTYCCACTGACTTAGTGGAAAAATACAAAAAGTTCATCTATAACAAAATTATTTTTAACATTGCTAAGATATGACCCAAACTCCAGTTGCTCTGAAGTTGCCTAACTAAAGAAATTAGTCCCTGTGTGCAGGTAATAAATAAAAATTAAAAAAAAAGCATATTGTATTTGTGCTTTGAGAAGAAAGGACAATTCATATGCATAAGAATAGCTAATCTCTAATAAGAGAATCTAAGTCTTCATAGTCCTACATGCAACAAAACACTTATTATTTTAAAATATTAATGTAGATTTTCTCTTGTGCCAAGTATTACATGAAGACCCCAAACTTAAATCCTACTGAACCCTCCAACCGCTTCAAACTCACAACGATGTCCAATACATGAACATATCTGATAACATAGAACATACAGCTGAAAAAATATTTACTCAGCTAAAAGTATTATTCAAAACAAAGCTGTTTTCTCCAAGAAGGATACTTACCTTAAGAACAGATTTATCTAGATTTGCAGCAGCACCACTGGAATCCGTTGAACTGAAACTGTAAGTTTTTGGACCTGAAAAAAAAAAAAACCTCCAAAATCAATAACATAAGCAGAAGACAGAGAACACTCTCTACAGTACCTAAAGCAAACTCAACATAATGCAGGGGAACATTATACTAATTTCTGGTCAAGAAATGAACATATATAATAACAATAAGAAACATGAACAGTATAGACAGATCTTCAAACAAGGAATAGTAATAAAGGGTGTAACTCTTAGTAGCTATAATATAAAATCGTGAATGGTACAATAAGAGGAAACAGGGACTAACTGCCCACTAGCCCTTTCAATACAGGAACAAGCAGCACCAYGTGGGAGAGGGAGAAGCTGGTAGGTTTACAAGAACTAAAAAGCCTTTAAAAAAAATAGAAATCTGTTAATTGAGGAGGTTACTGGAGAACAAGACCCCACCTCCTCTCTCTGAGCAATGCCACATTGTGGCATCTCCCTATGCCACAAACTGGCGGAGGCTGCAGGAGAATCCTGTGGAATTGTTACTGCCTGATCTATTCTTACCTGCATATCTTCTGTTGGTGTCTGTCAAGAGGACACTGGGTTACTCAGACCCTTGCTGAGGTGTTACAGCCATTCTTAGATAATTCMGTAGCTGCTAGTGCAAAGATACTCATTCACAAAACTATTTTTTGCCATTACAGTTGTGTGGCTTTCCACAGCCCAGCTTGACTTGGACCCAGTGTTTTGGGGCAYGCACACACCTTTTCCTGGCTCAGTCCTGGTAAACACAAACCCTCTGAACAACCTGACAGCCTTCAGCTGCCCACAAAGCTGGTCAGCAGCACAACACCCGGGACAGCAGCTGAACAGGAAGGACAGCAGCACAACACCCAGGACAGCAGCGGGCCCCGGGAGCGCGGCCAGGCTACTCGGGCAGTCGGGCACTTACCTGGGCYGGCACCTGCAGAGACGTGTCAGGACATCTCACTTTTTAGACCAGACAACTGAATTTCATGGAAAGTTGTAATTTATGATTGGGAGTAACCAACAGCTGTTAACACTCATCAGCTGATGGCTAGTATTTACTGATTTGCTGTGAAACTCCAGCACCACAGTATTCGGACCGCACTACCTTCCTTTTTGCTTACAGCACCTTTTCTCCGGGGCAGTCACCCTGCGAGTCAGGCAGCCTGGTTTCCTGAAACGCTGCAGACACGACGTGGTGCCAGGGCATAAGAAATGCAGGCACTGCATCCCAAACGTGGGCATGCAGGGAGCGCCAGGCCGCTCGGAGCGGCRGCCAAGGGGCCGCCAGGCTGCGTGCAAGGCGGGAGCGCCTGAGGGCCGGGCTGCGCCGCCGCCCACGGCGCGACGTGGGGAGCGGGGCCGTGCGGAGGCCGGGGCCTGCGGGGCCAGGCCGGGCTCGGCCGTGCCCCGCGGCTGCTGCAGGGCCCCACTGGCGGGGAAGCC